CCGGCTCCTGGGCTATTTAGGGTTTTAGGGTCTTAGGGTTTAGGGTTTTGGGGTTTTGGGTTTTCCTAACCGGCTCCTGGGCTATTTAGGGTTTTAGGGTCTTAGGGTTTAGGGTTTTGGGGTTTTGGGTTTTCTTTGTCAGTTGACATAGTTGAGTAGCATTTTACATGTTTATGGGTATTTAAACTCAATAAGGAATATGAATGTATATCTTTGATTCTATCCGGACCATGAACTTAGTTCAGGGTGGGTTTACGGGCGGGAGAGGGAGGGAGAGGGAGGGAGGGAGGGAAGGAAAGGGAAGGGAAGGGAAGGGAAGGGAAGGGAAGGGAAGGGAAGGGAAGTGAAGGGAAGGGAAGCGAAGGGAAGGGAAGGGAAGGGAAGGGAAGAGAAGGCAAGGGAAGGGAAGGGAAGGGAAGGGAGGGAGGCGGGGGAGGAAGGGAGGAGGGAGGCAGGGAGGGAGAAAGGGAGCGAGGAAGCGAGAGAGGGTGTTGGTGACTGCTAGTGTTGCAACTGCAAAGCCGAAGTTGAACGTACAGGGATGATGCGCGACGGTTCAGTCGTGTTTGCATCTCTTTAGGGCCCCGTCTATGCTACAATGTACCTCGAAAGTCTGGTCTAAGTACTTAAGCCCCGAAATTCTGGAACCCTTATGGTACCCCCTGTACAGGACCCTATAAAGAACCCCAAATTCTAACTATCTTGGTAGCTGAGCAGGTAACCTCTAACCTTTTGGGGTTTAGATAAACCATTCCCATACTTTAAAAGGTTAGCCGTTTTGGGCTTAGGATACTCAGCCCCCAAGTTATTAACATCCCTATGTTGAAGCCATCTAAAGAAACCCTCAACCGTCATGACGCTAAACCCTACTCTAATCCCTCTGCAAACCCTAAACCCTAAACCGTAGCTTATTAAGGCGCCGATGTTGAAGCCATGCACAGAGGCCTCGGTCTTATCCTTTGCTTCACCGTCGTGGCGCACGTAATGCGTGCTTCCTGGCGGGACATCGAAGCTTGGGTGCAAAGGATGGGAACATGTGTTTATTTTCTATGCCCGTTGGATTTGGAGCTATAGGGTTTGGAGGTTTGAGTTTAGGGTCGAGGGTTGTTGGAAGGTGCAAGAGTTGTGGGTCAAAAGTTTCACGGTTTAGGGGTTGCGGGATTAGGGCTTGATTGCATTTGGCCTAAACCCTAAACTGTGTTCGCGGGGGTTGTAACATTCCTGGGCCCACCTCGACTAGATCTTTTTTTTGGTTAATCATGTTCAAGATCCTGCAGTCACTGCAGTCACGAACGAGTGTAGCCGGAAGAAAGAAGCCACAATTGATGTTCTAGACCGACCAAAGCAGTCCTGCTAGTCTGGGCCTGAGCGTGTATCTTGGGCAGTCCTCCCACACACTTTACACACAATCGGACATCCCCAATTCCCCAAGATGCCATGTGGTCACCGGAGCACCAGCGAAGGACGTGATGAATCAGCAGCTCAGTGAGTTTCGCATCGAGCACGCTCGCAGCCAGTGCTGTGAGAAGAAGCCTACACATCCAGTTGTGTTCCCCGGATGTTCATGGCTTTGAAGTTCTATGCCTTGGACTGAACGCCGGAACCATACAGATTCAGTTCCGAACACCTTACTATACTAACCTGCATAATTGAAATACGTTTCCTCATGCCGCCAAGAAGGCAAACTATGAGAAACACTAGTGTACATAATACCAGCACTAGTCATTGGCTTACTGTATTGGCTCCCCAGGTGCGACCGGGTTATCCTTCTTCGATGCATCACCGCTTGGTTCGGTTCGATCGAGAAGTTTGAGAAATGTGTGCGAAAGGTGGTTCAAGATGCTCTCCTCCGCCACCTTATGAAGGCAGCTTGCCAAGTACCCTGCAATAACGCCCGCATGGTCTGGAATAGGTGTATTTGGGGTTAGTTGGAGGGTCTACGTGGTTGCAAAGGTTTAGTCGTTAGGGCTGTCAGGGTTAAGGGTACACAGCAGCAGCCCCAAGTTGTTTTTTCGTCGTGTTTTTCTAGCTTGGTTGGTTCCCTTCGGAAGTTGATTAGGAAAGGCCCAGTACTGCAGTCCGTCTGTTCATGCCCC